TGTTTCTATGTAAATGACTTAATTCCAAAATGCACATTCAACCTCAGTAGGAAGAAGAGTAAAACAAAGTTCAAAATACTCATGAAAGCCAATTTAAAAAATGAGGCAAAACTAGGAGTGGACTATAGGAAACCTTGGCATACTTGGATTGAATTCTTTGACTTCATAGCTCCAGAACATGAAGCAGACCATAGAGGGGATAACACCTACCTCAAAAGGGGCTTTGCAAGAATTAAGCAAAATATATTATGAGTAATGATACCAATCATGAATTGGAATTAACCACTGCCAGAATTTTTCTGTGAATAACTGAGCCTCGCCACATCATACATCTCAGTTTCAATGATTGTAGTTTCAGTTTGGTCACCGGTCAAGGTTTCTAGGGTATCCTATGAAGTCAAAGATCTACTGAACCCATAGTCTTTGGGCTTGGGCCCTTTGCCTCATGGTGCATTGCTTCCCCATTGCATGGATGCTCAGTACATTAAAGGGAATCGGGACTGGCCATTCACGGTGCTGACTTGTCAGTCCACACTGAATTGTCTGACCTTCTGACAGAGCCGTGTGTTTTGACAAGACTCAATACAACTTGGGCAAAATATGTTCTCAGTCCTTTGGTGCTGGCCCCGCAGGTGGCCATAAACAGTTGTTTATTCTATGCACTGTCAAACCCTGCTCTTTGAATAAAACTTTAAACAACTGGGCAATAAAAAATGGCTGTGACTTGTATTGTTTTCCCAAAGAATGGTGAAATTAGAACGAAGATGGAGCTTGGAAATAGAAGTTCACATTAACCTCAATTAGATCTTCAAATAAAAAGTAGCTGCTTCCGTACATCATTTTGAGAGAAATGCAATTACAACTCACAATTAAAATCACTATCTAATCAAAACACATGGCCCTTTAATAAGATAATTCCTTAAATGACAATACATTACCAGACAATGTAACATGCCATGTTATTTTCAGTATCACACTTTTTAAAAAAAGATTTTTATTTATTTGAGAGAGGAAGAGAGCGTGAGAGAGCACAAGTGGGGGGCGGGGCAGAGAGAGAGGGAGAGGCAGGCTCCCCGCTGAGCAAGGAGCCCAACTCAGGGTTCAATCCCAGGACCGAGTTCATGACCTGAGCTGAAGGGAGATGCTTAAGCGACTGAGCCACCCAGCGGCCCCAGTATCACTTTTTTTTTTTTAGTTATCTTGTTTCCTACTTAAGGTGAGCATTGTAGGATTATGCCTGCATTTTGTGTTTTAAAAATTATGTACAGATAGTTCTGTTTACTAAAACCTTTTTTCAACACTGCAACTCCTGATGTAGCAAAGTAGCTGCACTTTGGACGACTGTCCTTTAACTCAGCAGGACACCAGCTGCAGGGACAGAATTTTATTGAGACTTTACATCTGTTTGATTTCTTTCTTGGTGCAGGTGAGTGAAAGATGGTTAAATTTCAAGGTTTTACCCTGCAATGATTACATCTTTCTTAACTAAATCTGTGCATGCCTCTACCATTTATTTCTTTAGGACATATTCCTTGAGTGAAGTGGAGTAAAGTGTCAAAGGATACACGCTTAAGCTTTCTGACAAACAAGATTATCATCCAGAAAGTTTCTATCAAGTTTACACCTTCACTAGCTGTGACTAAAATCCTACCTCTCCATACCCTAGGTAATACTGACAAAGAAACTCATTTGAGAGATGAAACATTCTTCTGATTTTTGTGTACATAATCTGATTCCATCAATCTCTCAAGAGCAAGTGGTCCAGATGTGACGGTGATGTCCTGGGGAGAACAGTGGAGATAAAGAGAAAGGAGTTGATTCAGGATTGAGTCAGGAGGAAGAAACAGCAAGATTTGGTGATAAATCTTGACAGGCCCTATCATGACAGGAGAAAGGGCTAACATTGCTGGAGTGAAACTGGAAAGGAAGATTGCTGTGCTGTAAAGTGTTTCTTTCTTTTTTTTTTTTTTTTTAAGATTTTATTTATTTGACAGAGAGAGAGACAGCCAGAGAGGGAACACAAGCAGAGGGAGTGGGAGAGGGAGAAGCAGGCCTCCCGCTGAGCATGGAGCCCGATGCGGGGCTTGATCCCAGGACCCCGGGATCATGACCTGAGCCGAATGAAGGCAGACGCTTAACGACTGAGCCACCCAGGTGCCCCTGTAAAGTGTTTCTTAATTAGGGTGGGAAAGAATGAACTCGCCCAAGAAATGGCTGCTATCTTGTACGTCAGCCCTTATCAGCTCCTCTAGCATCATGTAACATCCAACACGGTAGTTGCACTTGAGGTTACTTGGTCTCTATACTCATTCTCCAGGATCCATCTGGATTCTGCAAGGGTAAGTTTGGGAAATTAAATGGATTTTTGTTAGGGACCACTCTCCCTGCACCCTTTAGATTTCTTACAGTAGCACTAATCTCCACCATCACCTTGGGGGTGCAATATTGTTATTATTTTGAATATTTATTTGAGAGACAGCGTGCACATGTGAGCAGGGGGAGAAAGAAGAGGGGGGGAGGGGGAGAGACAATCTCCAGCAGACTCCCCACTGAGTTCCCACTGAGTGTGGAACCTGACATGGGGCTCAATCTCATGACCCTGAAATCATGACCTGAGCCAAAATCAGGAGTCAGCCTCTTAACTGACTGAGCCACCCAAGCGCCCGCCCTGCAATATTATTTTTGATCTACTACCTCCTACTAGCTCAACTGTCTTGTCGTCCCCCAGCAGGAGATCATCAAAGATGCCCCAGGCACTCAGGGTGGCTGTTGACTATTTGTTAAGTACTGGTGGTTTGTCATTATTCCTCCAGGGGGAGTCAAGATGGTGAGGGGATAACCAGCCAACTCCACTGTTCTTGTATAGTGTTCCCTCTTACCTTCCAGTGTCTGATCCTTGTGCTGGCAATGTTTCCTTCCACTGGGAGGTTTCCCTGAGGCACCACTGGTGGAATCTTCAGCACCTGGGCCACTGGTAACTGTACCACCATGGGTCTTTTTTGCCAGTCAGATAGTACATGAGCCAGTCCCCAAACCCCATCCTACTGCCGGCTCTCTCAGACCATGTCCACTAACATCCATGTCAGTCAGGTCCTCCAGGAGCTATATCCCAAGACACATTTAAAATTACAAGACATTAATTGGAGATCTCTGGGAACCCTGCAGCGGCGCCCTGAGGGCGGAGCTTTGGTAACTGCACTCCCCCCATAGTGACTCTCTTGAAGGTAAAACTGAGCAGCACTCCACTATGGCCTCCAGGGGCCCAAGACCAAACACTCAGAAATGTCAACATTGAGAAGCTGGGTAAAAAAGGAAAGATGAATCAAAGAGAATGAATTCAAGTTAAGAAGACGAAGTATCCATTCAATTTAGCACCAGCAAAGTGGCTAGTAACTATCACAGCACAGTGATGGTAGTGTTGGGGGCAGCCTGGGGGAGAAGGAAGGGAGAGGAGACACGCTGGAGACGGTGAACAAGGGGCCAGGAGATAGGGCAGCCGCTCAAGCGCCAAGGGAAATGCTTAAGTTGGGAGATGAACAACTCTGTGAGCTGGAGGGAACGATCCGGTAGACAGGCGATGCGGGGCACGGACAGCACCCAAGGAGTAAGCCTAAAGAAGGCAACTAACCTGGGACCCCGGCACTGGTGGAAAGGCTGGTCCTGCACAAGGTAGGCGCTTGGGGAGACGGAACAGCAAGGACAAAAGAATACCCTGAAGACGCGGGTAGGGTGTCATTCTGGGAGTGGGAAGTAAGGGGGATTCCAGCCGACGGTTTCTCACTGTTTCACCGAAGGAGACAGCAGCTCCGAGGGTTTTCTGTGTTCATCAATAATTAAGAGGTCATTAAAAGGAAAAAGATATTTACAAACAGATAAGACTGAAAAATGGCTATTTATTTGACAGAAAACTTTTGAATAAATAAATGGCAGTAATTGGTTCTTACATGAATTCAAAATATTTTCACTGAGCACCGAACAAAATAGTTCCCAATCTTTTCAGTAAGAACCTCTATTACTGCAAGACTGCCTAAAACTTAACCCCACCAATCAGAGCTTCTAATTGCTATGAGGTGGCCAGGTTAACAACCTTGGAGTCATGTAATATAAGTACAAACAACTTTTAAAAGCTTTGTTTAATCCGTACTGAGGGGTTGGCCCCGGCCTGGGCACCCCACACACATACACACAAACAAAAATGAGTAATAAGTATTATGCATAAAAGATAAACAATATGTGGTCACTGTACATTCAGAGGGGTACAATGCCTCCTTCCCGTGAGGGGCACAGAGACAGATACAAATCACTAACTCCCAGGGAGAATCAAGCAAGGCTGGCAAAGAGAGAGGAAGTCCTGTGTCCTCGGGGTGCAGCAGAGAGAGCATGCAGAGGCTTCAGGGACCAGGTGGCATCTAGGCCAAACAACCATGAATGGATGATGTCAGTGTTATGGAGGGAGGAACCTTCAAGGCTGAAGGAAACAAAACAAGTCAGGACACCTGACTTGCAGAAGTACTGCCTATTTAGAAAACAATAGAGCATCTGTTTTGGGTTAGGAGATGTAATCTGATAAGAGACTGGTAAACAACAGAGAAAGGAAAATCTCACCTAGGGAGCACCACACGCAGTGCCCTTGTGTACTTCTCAAGGGCAGCTCAACAGAGAATCTCATTGGCCCGTGTAACCAACAAGAGGGTAAAACGTCTTCCCAAAAGCTGAGGCTCCCATGATTTTTGAGGATGGGGAGTTCGCTGAGGGTCACCCTGCAGCCCACTCCCCACCCAGAGGCCCCAGTCTGTTGGAATCAACTATTCATTAGCAAGAACCATCCTTAGTGGAAAATTCTGCTACAAAAAACCAGAAACAAAAACGACACAAGCAAACAAAACTCAAAATGAAAAGAGATGATCATGGCAAGCTTTAACTTCTCATACTGCACATACGCAAGTGTCATGCTGAAAACAAGATCTGTCCCCTTACACTGATTCATCACTACAGACCGTAACAAAACTTAGCTTATCACTGATCCTACTACACGCCTCCGCTCCAAAAAGTGAAAAAACACCACACAAATAAGAGTCCAAATAAAAGTCAACATCAATATAAGGATCCTACTATATTATTACTACACTAACTTAGGATATTATAATCCTTTCAACCTATTTACAAAATATCCTCATTCTAAGAGCTCCGGATGCATTACAAACATCACTGTATTAGATGCCTCTTCTTGAAGTAATTTAAAGTCTTGAAACATGCAAATTTACCTATTTTCTGCACTACCACCTAGGAATAATTGTCATAAAAGGCCTACAATCAAAATCCTCATCCTCTGATTCTCAGATCAGATCGTACAAGCTAATCTAAAACCGGAACACAAAGAGATTAAGTCATACAAAAATACAAACAGAAAAAAGAAACATGAAAAGGGAAATCTGTAAGTGGCATCACACTACCAGTCTAAACTTTGCTAAAGACAGGAAAATTTACTTCATTTACCAAAACTATATAGGCCTTTTATAAAGTACTCAAGAAATAACGCTTATAAAAATAAGGGGAAAATTTTAGGTGAGATCATCAACAAAAATCATCTCATTCTTTGGCAAAGAGTTCTTACAAAATGTCATGTCCACAAGAAGTGATGTTTGTCAAAACTGTGTTCAGACTGACTCACACATCAGATCACCTTCAGGCCAGCTCTGACTCAGGTTTGCTTCATTGGTGCAGGGATATTAGCAGATGCCTGCTCGAGGTAGGCCAAGGAGCCCTGAGGGATTTCGGCTGGCTTTTTGTGCTGGACGTTGATGTCTTCCAGCACCTGCTGCCAATGTCTCAGTTTTGTCAAGTGCTTCTGGACCAGAGCATCTTTCCGCTGTAATTCATTCCTTAGTTCTGAGACATCCTGTAAATGAGGACAACAAAGTAAGAGCAAGCTCATGAAAAGTGAAAATAGTTTCTGATTTGGTCAGAGCTTTAAGAAGTAAATTCAAAACAAGAGAATCAATTAAACCATTGTATGCCCATTGCCCTGCTTGGCTCCACTATCTGAACAACCCACAGCAATTCCTCCAATGGAAGATGCCTAACACTGGGAGTTTTTATTTTTCATTTTCTTTTAATAAGGAATACAGATGTTCCAATATTCTAAAGTACCAAAGGGCAGCCAAAGAAAATCAGTCTCTTTCCCATCCTGGTCCCCAGGACCAGTCCCCTGGTCCTCCGTCCAAAGGTTACTGTTAAGAATCTAAAACACTGAGAATCAAATATATGCTAACAACTGTTTAAAAAGAGTCCAAAACCACTGTTCTATCAGTTCAGGATGAAGTGTTAAAATCTCATATTCAAGAGCTTTTTATTTTTTTTTTTTAATTTTTTAAGGATTTTATTTATTCATTTGAGACACAGAGATACAGAGAGAGAGGAGAGAAAGCATGAGCAGGGAGAGAGGCAGAGGGAGAGGGAGAAGTAGGCTCCTTGCTGAGCCAGGAGCCCAATGTGGGGCTCGATCCCAGGACTCTGGGATCATGACCTGAGCCGAAGGCAGACGCTTAACCATCTGAGCCACCCAGGCGCCCCTTAAAGAGCTTTTTAAATGAATACCAGCATTATAATTCTTTATTAAGGCCTGGCCTTGAACACACCTATGTTCTTACTCAAGTGTTCTGACGTGGTATGATCTGACATGATAAACTGTAAAATATCATCTTACCCTTCACGTTCTCAACAGCTGATATCAATGAATAAAAAGAATGTTTTCAATTAATTGGGAGTAGTTACTTCAAAAGGTACCAAAAACAATCATTTCCCAATTTAGTGTTTCTCATTAGGGGCATCACAGGTCTCTTGGGCAAGATGATTCTTCTCCCTTCCACAATGCACTTGGCAGGCTTTGGCCCAACAAACTAAATGCCAATAAAGCTTTCTAGTCATTGTGGCAACCTCAACACATTTCCAAATGCCCCAGTTTCAAACAACTGAGATAAATGAAATCCTGAGTCTCAAGGAACCTGGACAGAACATTTAATTTTTGATTCCCTGAACAAAACTTGAGCCCTTCCTGTGTCTAAGGCAGCTGGGGGATACACACAGCTCACAATTTCTGTCCAAACTGAGCTTGTCGTCTACATTAATGGCTTCTCCACCTTTTTCAAGCAGCAGAGGCTTTCCTGTAAGAAAAGTCTTCCATGAAAGTCAGCAAATGAAACTGCTCTGTTTGAAGCCCATCTTCCCGCCCCACCCTGACCCCTGGCTCCACCCCCTGCCCTGTTGATGCTTGTCATCAACACTGACAACTAGCAACATTTGTATTCAATCTATAAAGCCCTACTGTAACTCGTGGGAATAGGATGTATCTCATTTAAAGCACATATGGAATCCTGACAACATATGCTCTTCCTAAAAGTTGAGGAGAAATGTGAGTTCATACCTCTTTGATAACTTGCTCTGGTTTCTGGACAGATAACTGCAATCTTTTTTGTAGGAAAAAACATTCCGTCTGTCTCGCAATATCCAGAAATTTCTGGATACACTGATCGACACCTTATTTAAAAAAGACCAAAATATTAAGAAAAACACTAGATATATATATATCTCCCTCATAAATGAACAGTCAAAATATCAAAACGGCATCTTCCCATAGATGTAATCTGGAATTTTAATTCTGGTCACAGCAGTGATACGGACTCCCAACCCCCATGTAACCAACATTAAATGGCACATAATTTGTGCTTTTATGAGGTGAATGATACCTCATTACAACATAAAAGTTCTTCTGAAGAGAGACAATCCATCCAGAGATCCAGCAATTAGCATCATGACTTCCAGTTAAAATGTAACATGTAAAATATAGTACAAAAAAGTCAGAAACACTGCCTGCCTCTGGGGACAGAACTTGGGTGAAGTCAGGGAAGCACAAGAGACTTTTCTAGGTAACACCTTCAAAAAATAATCAAAACTTAACTTTTTTGAAAAAAGCAGTATGCATTGTTGGTTGTCACTGTCCTATACCAAAATGGAAAGCTCATTTTAAGTGGTTCATTATGAGGGACATGTCAATTAATAAACTGAACAAAGAACCAGTAGTATATAGAAATGACTGCATAAATCTTATTCTCTGGAAAAGTTCTCTTAGGATACAAATAGAACTGAAACACGTCGAGTATAAATTCAGCAATTAGGAATCTTGCTGAAGGTAAGAACATAATCTACAAAGAGTAAATTCTTACCAGTTCTAATTTCTTCCTGATCTGTGCCATTGACGTAGTCCTGACTCACAAGAGAAGCAAAGCAAGCCTGTGTGACCCAAATATGTAAGAAAAAACATGTCATTCACATGTCAAAAATCTTACTTCAGAGTAAGAAATAACTTCTCTTGAAGTCATTCAATGAGTTTATAGAGTCTGGGTTTGCACATCAGCTGACAAGATATCCTCCTGCTAACTTGGTACATTGAACTTGGTACACTGAATCCATGAGACCCTCCGAGGGAGAGCCTGCAAATGAGGATGCTGGTATATGCAAGCACCACCACCTAGTCCCGACTCCTGCCACTCACCCCTTTCCCCATGGTCCCATTCCACACCAGAGCCTGGGCCCCTGTTCCAGCCCCACTTATAGCCCCTCCCTCTGATGCTTACATGAACTGTATTACCACTGTGTCACGACTCAGGAAAATCATCACCTCCTCAGAGAGGCCATCTCTCTCTACTCTTGAAATGGCGCCCCTTCTGCTCATTATCCTCAAGCCCAGCTTTACTGTTTTTCACACAGTTAACTGATATCATTCCATTCTTTTAGTCCGTTTTTAGTTGGTTCCTACCAGCAGGTGGGAATTTTGCATGTCTTGTTCACTACACTCCTAGTGCAAGAAGACTGCTTGGCACTGCTTGGCTCACTAAGTATGTTAAGGACTGACAGGACAACCTAAGGGAACAAGCTTGCTGTCACATGGATAAACAAGGCCCAAAGAGAGAGTTTCTCTAAAGGAGCACCGATCTAGATGAATATGTAATTCAGCAATGGAGTTCTGTGCACAGGAAACGCACAAAGAAGGCCTATCACCGGGCAGTGGGGTCAAAAAGAGAATGGGATGGGAGCTGGAGAGGGGAGCAGTGATCAGAAAGGAAGCCTCAAACCTCAGGAAAGCAGAGCCTCACCAGCAGTAAGTAAACTACACTTGGTGTGAGGTAGGCATATCTGAGCCCAAATTTAGGCCATCAACCAGATGTGAGGGCCCTTTGGGAAGCAATAAATTCTGCTGCTAGCAGTTTCCCCCATCTGATTTATACAGAAAAATCACAGGACTCCTCCTGGGGAATCCTTGTAACAGCTCAAGAAATCAGAAAAACAAACTGCCCATTCTGTGTATTACTTGGAAAGACGACTCCTGTTGGACCTAGGATATGAATAGGGCATACCTGCTCTGTGAAACCTGTGGGTACTGGAAAACCCAGGAGGTTTTGCCTGGTTGCCCAGGAGGCCAACCAGGCAAACCAATCAACAAAGGTAGAGCTGCTCCCCCACAGAGAGCAGGGCCACCAGGCCCAGTGAGAGGAAATCTGAGCTCAGGAATTTTAGTTCCCTCTTACCTCAAAAAAAAAAAAAAGGATATTACACACACAGGTCTTTATAGATAGTTGGGCAGTTGTATGGAGAAGAAAATGTGTGGTGGTCTATAAAAAGAATATGCTTTTTTAGAAGTATGCGTAGGATGGAACCTTTGACTGAACAGTAGGGAGGCCCAAGTCCTAGTCCTCATTTGCATAAACTGAGGGTCTGGCTTTGGGCAAGTAATTGCTCCTCTGAGCCTCAGTTTCTCCATCCGTAAAAGGAGAGGATGGTCTCCACGGTTCCCTCCCACAACAAGAGGGCATGATCTCAATAAACTCATTCCATTAAAGAGCATTTACTGAGCAACTAGAATGAGAAAGCCAGAGGCCTCAAAGTGACAGCACACTTTAAATAGAATATGAAATGAAAAGTGGGCAGGCAGGTGCCACAGGCCGCTGGAGGCTCTTTAATTTCCCACAGGGAAATTAAAATGTGGCCTTTGAGATGAGTCTTGAGAAGACTAGATGGGTGATCATGAAGCAGTAGAGGGAGGGCCAGGTAGCAACTCTCTCTCCTTTTCACTTGGCTTTGTCCAAACGCCCTTTTGGGTTGCGTATTCTCTGGGAAGCACCTTTGGCAGCCAGGCTCATGTGTGCTCCCAGAGTTCCCTGGGTTTTCTTCTACCACAGCAGTGATCACACAACACAGCAACTGCCTGCTATTTATCTGTTTCTTCTATCCCACTGTCATGAATTCCTTGAGGGCAAGGACTGTTTTCTCTGTGTTCTTAGCACCGAAGACAGGGACTGACACACAACGGGCTCCTTCACTGTTCGACAAATATTCATCAAGCACTTGCTATCTGCTACCACTGTATTAGCACTGATGGGGGAATGAGGGAGAGATGGCCTCTGACTTCAGGGGCCTGGTGTGGTGGTAAGTCCTACAAAAGGCACCAGGGGCGGATACACTAAGGAAATGATGCACAAGTTGGGGGAGGGGACGGAAACCCAGAGAGAAAACAAACAGCACGTGGAGAAAAAGTCTTCTGTGGCCAGAGTAAAAGGAAATTGCAATGGAGCAGAGAGCCAAATACGCAGAGCTAGGAATACCACAGTAAACCTGGCTTTGTCTCAAGAGTGACAGGTAGCCACTAGAGGGTTTTAAGCATTAGGGCGCTGGTGTTGGCTCTGGCCAAGACTTCTACAGGGCCAGTCTTTCAGCAAGCACTCATGACTGACAGCCACCTCACCTCAATGCTAAATGCTGCTCTAAAGCCTAGCAAACCCTCTCCTTTATGGCTTGGCACCACTGCAAAGGCGACTCATCCTCCTCCCCGATAAATTCTGATGTCCTCTAAATCAGTTATCTCCAAGTTTTTGAATGCACACTCCCCAAGAAATGCATTTTCCAATGCAGCCCCAATAACACATTGATTTACAAACTATATTCACGCTCTACTCTGCTACTGTATATAGTATAAAATTCACATGACTTAAAATGTGGAAAAGGTAGCTGCAATTGTAAGTTATTTTATTTCCCCACAATAATGGCTCATCTTCCACTCTAGAGACCACTGAAAGCCATCTTATTTTTAAGCACTTATTTTTGCCTCTCCTTTGTCTACTACCACTCCCCATTTTCCTTGCTAGAGGGATTAACTTCTTGGAAGTAGAACTCAGAGTATGGGTCATCCCTGCCTCCCTTGCTCCCTCCAGCTTTCCTTCTTCCCCCCTCCTAGTACCAAGTTTCACACAGTAACTTTCACGTAAGTCCATTTCATCTCCAAGAGTTCATTAGTTTGGGGCCATCTAAGGGTGGAGCCCAGCGGAAAGGATACAGGACATAGTGTGACGTTACCCGTCGTAGATGAACCAGTATTAAACACGCAGGAATGCGGGGAAGAGCGCTCGGGGATGGGCCCAAAAACAGATGGAACGGAAACAACCGACTAGGAACCTAGAAGGGTCCTGAGACTAGGGATGGACAAACTTCAAGTCCACGTTCTTCCAGAAACAAAGTTTACGTCTCCGCCAGCAGACCTGAACAGAATTCCGGCCACCACTCAACGTGGAGACTAAAGCAAGTGACTTCCGTTCTCTGAGCCTGTTCCCCTATTTGTAAGCCTGATGGTGGGCATCGCTGAAAGACACAACTGCCCAGGCGCAGCTTACGTTTCAGGAAAGAAGGTAGACTGGGAACACAGACGCCCCAGTCTCACCTTACCTCAAAAGATGACTCCAACTCGTCCACCAAGGTACTGTTAGAAGTTCTCGGAGGGCCTGGCGCGGCCTGAAGAAGCGAAGCTTGGCCCCTGGAGTCCCCGGGGTGTCCAGGGGGCTGCCCGGAGAACATACCACCCAGCGGGGCCGCCATTTCTGGAAAGGCGCGCAAGAGGCGCGCTGCGGCTGCGCAGGAGCTGGCGCGCGCGGCTCACGTAGCACGCCTAGTCATGTGACATCGCGGGCCGCCGCAGGCGTCCGTTGGGCTCCAGGGAAATCGCGGGTTTGACAGCCTCGTTTTGTTCCTTTGCTGCCGGTAGGCGGCCAGGCTTTTCTTTTTCTTTTCCTAACTTAAGCATTAAAGGCTTTGACGGGATTTGACGCTGTTGTGGGGAGTGGAGAATCAGTAACTACGGTGGAGCTAGCCCTTCCCCGGGAGTCGGGATACTCCTGTGCAAGTCCCGCCTTTGCCTTCAAGATTTGGAGTGATTTTGGCCAAGGCTTTCTCTCTCCCGGCTCAGGTTAACCGTTGGTAGGAGGGAGGCACCCGTTCATTCCACAGTTATTGAGCGCTTTCTGTGCACCAGTGACTAGTCACTGTGGATATAACGAGAACAAACTGGCAAAGCTACCCTTAAGTTCTCTGTGCGGAGAGGCGGGTAGCAAAAACACTAACGTTGTTAAGCCTCCCTGTCTGTGTGCCTGGCACTATTCGCCTTGGATATTTAGGGTTGCATTAAAGCCACTATGCGGTCTTTAAGTAACTTCCTTTTAGCATTTATGTATCTTTTCAGAAGCTAAGCTTTCTTTTCCCATTATATTTAATTTTAAAGTTATCCAGCACATTGATTGAGCCTTCCGTGTCCTAGGCTCTCTTTAATCTGGGGTTTTAGCAGTTACCCCAAGTCTCTGTTGTCATGTTTACTGTTTTTGTGGGAGACACACACACACACACACATATATATAGCAATATGTACTAGAGATAAGTGCTAAGAAGAAAAATGAAACCCGGTAAGGCGATGGCTAGTGATGGATTTGAGTGGGTAGCTGAAGTCCTCTCAAAGAGATCTGCGCTAGAGTGACTGGAATGAAAATGTAACCAGAAAACTTTTCTAGACGGGGGTGGGGGGGGTGTTGAAGAAGGAACCAGCCTAGCATATTTAAGGAGCCACAGAAAAGCCAGTAGGGATGGAGTGAGGAAGGCAGAGCAGAAGTAGCCAGAAAAAGAGGCTCCCCTTTGCCCATCAGGTCTCAGATCAAAACTCATCTTCCCCGCGTCAATCTATACTAGCTCCACACTCCCAGCCGCTTCACCCTGTTTAATTTTCTTTACAGCACTTAAGTATTACATGAAATTACCTTGTTCATTTGTCTTCCTTGACAAAGTCACCTGACACACATGCACCAACAGGAATGCAGGCTCCATGAGATCAGGGCCTGCCTGTCTTATTCACCTGCATTCTCAACACCCAAAACTGCCAGGCATAATTGTTAAACAAAAATATAATGCATAAGGGAACTAGTGGACTCCCAGCAGTTCTCAAAACTGTTTTGGGGCTTAGGACCCCTTTACATTCCTAAAATATTACCGAGTGCTACAAACATTATTGTACTACAAACATGTATGGGTTGTGTCAGTATTTATTCAATTAAAACTTGGAATAGGTAAAATATGTATTAAAACAGAATTTAAAAATACGTGTATTTAAAAATAAGCCAGTTAATGTTAGCATCAATATTTTAATATTTATCTTTTATAAAACCAAAAAAAAAAGTCAGAAGAATTGGAATCACTTGACTTGTTTGCAAAAATAGAAGACTAATGCTTTTCACCCACATGTAGTCTTCAACCCCAGTGGCCATCTGGGACTGCAAGAGAGCCTTGAGGCTGGGTGGTGATATACATTCCCCAGCCTGGATTTCTGATGACCCCAATGGGGCTGCTTCAGTTTTGGTTTCTCTACTTCAGCTACCTCTTAACACTATTGTATTCTGAACCACTACTGTTTTGGATTTAGTGCTTGCCATAGCCATGCCTGGTCCTCACGATAGACATGGGTAATAATACCCCCTGCCTCTGAGCATGGTTGAGATCAGTCAAGGATTTGTGTAATACCTGGCAGCCAAATGTACCTGCAATGACAACTAAATTTCATCTCAGTCAGATTAGATAAGCACATGAATCCAGGCCTAAGTCATGCCTTTTGGATCCCACACTCTGGTAAACACAGGAGTTCTGTTGTCCCTCTGTTTATAAAAAGCGTTTGATAGAAAGCTATCAAATCCCTGCTTCGCCTTCTGAGTCACTGAGAAGAAATCTAATTCCAGTTTTCCTTCACAAGTCAGTGGTTCCACCTTTCCATCTTCCCTGACAAAGGAGCTTTTGGACATGGATACCCAGAGGAACCTGTTTACTCACTATTCCTGCCTGATTTTCTTTAATTCTAACAAATAACACAGATATGCATGCCCATATCCATTCCCTCCCTATAAACCACTTGAGACACATAACATCCTCTTATATGTCAAATTTTTAAAATATTAAAAATAGGGGTGCCTGGGTAGCTTAGTCAGTTAGGCGAGCAATTCTTGATTTCGTCTCAGGTCATGATATCAGGGTTGTGAGATTGAGCCCTACAAAGTGTAAAATAAATAAACCTTTAAAAAATAATAAAATATTAAAAATAACTCCAATAAACAAGTTTCTTGTCAAATGTTCAGTCCTAAAAAAAGAAAAAAAGTATAGAGAGATCCAATTCATGGGTAATTTGTTTACCTAGATACAAAAGAAAAAAAGAGGAGAGCTTTGTCCTAAATCTGCGTAAGTAGAATTTTGTTGATTGGTTGTAGTCCCAGGTGGTAAGCAAATACTTCACCCGTGAACAGTCTCTTTTATTGGTCTTGTTCCTTAACTCAAATATATTCCACATCCACTCAAGTCACTGAACTGACAGAAAGCATTACAGTGTAACAATTAAGAAGCCAGCTCTGGAGGCAGGCTCCCTCCTGTTTAAATCTCTGCTCTCTCACTTAGTAGCTTGGTGACATTGTTGACACGTTCTTAACCCTCTCTCTGGTGCCTGTTTTCCTCATCTGTTAAACATGGGGATAATAGCACCTACCTCACCAACTGATTAAACTCATCACTGAGTGCCCTAAAGTGATTATTAACATTGAGAAAATACTGTACCATCTTACTTAGTTCACGTTAACACAGCCAAAAGAGACAAGTTATGCTATTACTAAGTGTACAGTAAGAGAGAATACCAGAGCCACACCAGAAAGCACAAAAAGTTGGTTTATTATTTCTGACAATTGCATAGTAACCTTTAATTTATTCCTCGCATCACAAATCTAAAAGACAACTTTGCTCCTCAATTAAAACCATATACTCTGAAAATTAACTAGGTAGTTTTTAAACATTTGATCATTTATAGAATATCTTAAAAATCTTTGCCAAGCAAGAGATTAGCTTTACCTTTACAAATCTCTACATAAAATGAACAACTCAAGGCAATCAAATTTTCTTTTGTTCTACATTTTTAAATACCACCCTTTGTTTCCTTTGAAATATTTTCATCCATTCATTCAAAAATATTTTGAGGTTCAACTGCCCATTTAAGACAGAATGAAAAGAATTTTAGAGGATCTGAACTAAGCATTGTTTTGACTGAACTGAATCAAGAACTCTATCAGGGTCCTTGTGGGCCTCCCAGTCATGCCCTTCCGCAGATATGGAATCTCATCTTTGTTGGTCATCACACCTGCTATATCTAAATGTGCCCACTTAGGATGAGTCACAAATTCTTTCAGGAACGCTGCAGCTGTACATGCTCCTGCAGACCTGAAGAGAAAGACAAAAATCATTTTTTAACCCCATGTAAATGTGCAATGAACATTTCATTAAGATCCTCTATTCTTGCTAAGTAGCTTCTATGACCAGAGAGCAAAAGTCAAGTTTATGAGATTAAAACGTAACCCTAAAACCACTTTCGGAATATTTATTTTCAGACATAGCTTTAAGCAATAAAGGATGAATTCTAGATTCCTCCTCCCCATGGTAATGAATTCACCTGTTTTTCATCTCTTTCCCTTACGATATTTTTAAAATGACTCAGCTGTGAAAACAAGCAAAATTTTGAGCACCAGATGTAAAATACCTTGAAAATTAAAGATGTTCGAAATTAGTACTTATGAACACTGTATCAAAAGGAAATTGGCTACACTTTCTGTGAAAGGGCATAAAATTTAAAGTCATTTTGGTAACCAATGACTGTAAAAATGTACTTTTATAGCTCATTTTACATACCTATATTTTCCAATATTATTAACATCAGCAAGTTGGCAATCTACAACTTGTTTTGTATAATGTTCAAAGAGAGGCATCCTCCAGACACGATCCCCCGTTTCAATGCTGGCCTAAAGAAGAAACAGGTACAATAGTTGGAAGACTGCATGAAGTAAGACACTGATGTATTCAATGATGGAAAGAAAGAGAACTGTTCTGACCTGTTACTCTAAAACAGGAAACTACTCAACCAGGTCCAGAATCATTTCAGTTAATGAAAAGGTTTACTTAAGAATTATAAAAGAAATCAGGAATGTTATAAAACATCCCACAAATTTGTAGGGCATTTGCTAAAATCATCAATTCTTACGGATCTCAATTTACAATATGCTGGTATCCAGCAGTACATTGACTATGGAACTGATTATGGGGAAACAGCCTTCGTGATGCTTGTCACCTCTGTGTGCTAAGGAATACATGCCTGAAACTGCACCACTGAAGACCAGAGTCCAAGACAAGGTGACCTTATTCATTCACATAATCATATACACACTCATTCACATTCATCACTTACTGAATCTTGACAGAGCACCACCAGGTTGTTGGGGCTATAAAGAAATTTAACATCTGAGCCATCAGAAGGCCCTGAGGCTGGTAGGAAAAACAGATACACAGACTGTTTTAATACACTGTGGTCAGAAGAAGCCCCAAAAGTGAAAAGTCAGGAAGCAGCAACAGAAGCTGTTATTTGGAGACATGAGTAAACAGCAGCTGAATCAACCCCAGGGTTGAAAGTAGCTGCCTCTGGGAAAACAAGACTGTAGACTACTGTAGACTGCTGACTGGTATTTAAATGTTTATGCACACAGAACT